GCTTCTCCCTCATGGTTTTCCTTCTCTTCGAGCCATCTTCTGAGTCAAGTTTTCACGCAAAATTTAAAATTTCTCGACTACTTTTTATGTCAAAAATTGTTGACTTTCAAACAATGTAAAACTGTGCTAGAGACGCTCCACTTTCTCCCTTCGCGAGACGGTTCAATATTTCAAGTTTTGTATCTATGTTCAAGACTTTGCACTTCCGTTTTGAATTCGAAGCTCAAAAAAAAAGAGCACGTATACACCCCCCTCACTTTGAAACAAACTGATCTAATATTCCGCGCAGATGTTTACCAAATCACACAACTGAAATTCCCCAAATATCCCTGACCTTGGGTTTCCCCGTCACTTTTAGCCTCACGCGAAACAATTGTTGAGCATTACACTGTTCGAAAACGTATTCATATACAGTACATGTAGTTGACGAAAAAAAAAAAAACTAGTTCGGATATTTGACGCTCCGGATAAATGACGCTCTATGTTGTAACGGGTCTATCCACGAGCCTACACTAATCCTTTTGGGATAAATCTTTTTATTTTAAATGTTGTTCTATTGAAAACTTTCTACCGAAGAAGACACGGTTTATGTAAATGAAGGGTTATATTTATGCATTAACTCTTAGGTACGTGAAGTTAGTGGTTTGTGGAAGGCAGTTGAGAACTAATCGAGAGTTACTCGACGATTAATTGCGAAATGATAAAAGATTGCTAATTGACGATTTAGTCAATAAATAAGAATTGAATAATAACGACCCGGAGGTCAAACAAATGAGAACGGAATTTCGGTAACTTAGACCGTAGACATGCAAAGTGATCCAAGAGTAAGTTAACTGAACTATAATCAAATATTTAGTATCCATTCTGCAGCACAAATAACACATTTTTCTCTGAAATAAGAAAATCCTTTGTGAACATTGCCAAGGTCATTTTATTGCCTTCCAAATAGTTTTACAGACAGCAGTGCAAAGAAAGGAATCGTACTTCGAAAGGACGGATATATACGTCCACGAAACATAACGCATGAGTTGAGCGAGACTGATATATACGCCGGGGGCATTTGGGGTTAATGAAGTTATATATAACTACAACCACGATACTAAGGAAAAAGAATTGAAACCAACACATAATTCATTCCTACAGGTTGTCTCATACAGGTATTTCATAAAAAGACTCCGAGAAAAATACAATAGTTCTTTTTATTAAATTGTATTACACATTCTCAACTCGAGAGGGATGATCAAAATAAGCATCTAATTGAAAGAAACGAGAGAAATAAGAATTGCAATTAAGATTTTCATTTATGTCTAATTCTAAGCTTAGACTTGTCGTATGAAACAATACAGTTAGTGCAAAAACAAAAGTTTCCTCGTACGTAATATACTCGAACCTATGAAATATCTTCTCACGCCTCTCTATACTAGCGACCGATGCAACCTAGTGATTATGGTCACGGATTCGTGGTCACGAGTTCGTGTCTGGCGACAATGCAGACTTACCATGTGGAGGAGCACGATAAATCCCTCCAATTGCGCAGTGAGGTAATTCGAAGAAAGGCCAGCTCATGTGTCAATTGAGCATGGTTTCAAATAAAGAGACCCGCTTCCTATGACCCTCGTGTTGCTTTAGAGGGCGGAATTAATGTAACTCTCACTCTTATTATACCGGAAGTGTTTTGTGCATAGATGCACTGAACAATGTTCCTCAACTTATTTGAATCTGGGAAATGATAGCAGTAAGAATTAAAATCGATATAGCAGCTTGAAATATTGAATGAAGCAATAAAAATAGCAGCACAATTTACGAAATTAATAAAATTACACACACACACAGCCTTGAACAAATTTATTTTTCGCTTGAGAAGTTTGACGACAGTTAAATTAATTTTTTTTCATCAGTTTCAGACTGTTTCTTACGTTAAACGGTGCATTAAAATTACTCTCTGTAAGTTGTAATAGCTTTTTAAGAAACAAAAAAACTTTCTTTATCGGCGTTGGAAACCATACAATAAAACACTTTTTTGTCATAACATTCATAAAATCTAGATATAAATTATAAATGCGAAAGTTTGTTTGGATGTTTGGTCGTCTTTCACGCAAAAACAACTGAATGGATTTTAATGAAACTTTACAGTAATACAGCTTATACGTCAGAATAGCACATAGGCTATAATTTATAATACAGGCCAGGGGTGGCGAATCTTTATGGATCAACGTGCCATTTTTCTAAAGAAATGCTTAATGAGGTAGACGTGCCGTCAAATAATTTTGACTTGTAATTATTGGGAAAATAATAAAACTAATACTAACTACACAAAACTCTTTGTTTACTAAAGAAAAATACATTTTGCATTTTATAGTAATAAATGTTTTAGTTAAATGTTTAATTCAAATGATATAAAGTAACATAAGTGTGATTTCTACTGTAGCAAACTAGAAGACAAATTATATTAGGATTGGGTAAGACGTTACTTTTAGCAGAATGCATGCTGAATTAGAGTCGTCTGCTAAATGGTTTCTAACGAGTCTTGAATGTTATTCTTCCCTGAAAATAATGATTCGTAGGCATAGGTCGATGAAAATATGGTTGAAATAGCATGAAACTGCCTCTCCAAATAGTTAAATGTATCTGGAAACGTATGTAATGTTTCCAAAATTTCGTTACTGTCATTTTTAATTATATTGCTTGATAATATTTCTGTTCCAAACAATTCTAACCTTTTCCTTGTTTCAATAAATTTTTGAATCCATATAGAATTAGACTAGAAATCAATAAGTTACATATCAAATTCTTCAATTTCCAACCCCTCAAATTGCGGCAAGTTCAGTTTATAAAATGTCACATCAGGGTACATAATAAACTTTTGAGCGTTTCTGATAATTCTTTGAACTGAGAAAATCTCACTGAAAATTCCTTGATTAAAAAATTAATCGCGGTTGATTGGTGGCGTGCCCAAAATATTGTGCCGCGTGCCAATGGTTCGCCATCCCTGGCATAGGCTATAATTAATAAAGATATTGTGGGAAGTGTCCAAAATATAACGATATTTGTCAAGTAAGTAGGAAAAAATTCTGCCATCTGTAAGCAATTCTGGCGTGCGCTGCAAAAAAAAGCCCACGACAGCATATATCTATCTTTTGTTCGTGAAGAAACACTTTTTGATTTGGCTACGCAAATGCGCTGGCTTCTAATTTATTCCTGTAATCAGCATAATCCCTGTATTTTTTTTATTTCAGAATAAAACTAAGTTTTGAAGGGAGAGGTTGTTATAAATCTCTCTTTATTTGAATATTTTTTTTATGATTTTATTATGCACATTTGGTAGTAAGAAATTGATCTTTTTTCAAAATAAATACATTTATCGCTTCTGGAACTTCAAGTAAATAAACATTCTCTTTCACATTATATCATTTGGACAAATTTTTAAAATTTGTTTGTGGTTAGTAATTATTTGCAACGCTATAATTTTAATTGAATTGGCAGATATTGCATTTTTAAGTATAAAAATAAATATAACTACTGTACCGTATTTTTTGGAGAGAGTGAATATTAACGTCGTACTGTTCAGCTACACGAGGGCTTTTGGCAACGGACCACGTAATTTTGAACCATGGTCAAGTGACGTGGACGACACCTGAGCTTGCCACCCCCTTCTCCTAGCTACCACACCAACTTAGCAGGAATATTCTACCAATACTTAGCAGGAATATTCTTTGAAATCCACTCTTACAAGATATATGGCAGCACACGGGTTCTATAATGAGTATTTTAGTGGGGAAGGCGAATAGTTTTGTAGCAGATATTGCGTTTTCAGCTGACGGTGTTTTCTGTGGATTGCAAAGAATATCATTTTTGTCCCGATAAAGTAGTTAATGTCAAAATTTAAGTGTCATATGTTTTTGTATGTTAATGATGACCTTAGAAAACGATTCGATTATTTATTTTAAGTGAACGGTGTATATAATTAATTTTACAGTGGAATATCTTTAATTAATTTATTAGCTCCAACGAATTAAATTTCCCAAAGTGGAGTACTTTGTTTATGTATATCCCTTAATTTTCATTGTAGTGATCCAAAAAAAAAATATTGCATGAAAAAAACTGCAGTAAATCATAATGCGGTAGATAAAGCATTAACGTGCATCGCACCCCTATACGGCGGGTCTTACAAAGCTCTAATAAAGCTCGAGCTATGAAAGTAGCTAGACATTTGCCAACTTGACTCTATCGTCAGCATTTCGCTATGTTTTTCATTGAATCACCATTATAATTTAAGAAATGGCTTTGCTTGCGAATATTACAATTTAAACATAAAATAAATACAACAGAAAGTAATATTAACGTATTACACTTTCAGATAAAAATTATTTAAACTATTTTAAGCGTTCATTACACAAAAATTTTAAAAATGCGTTACTTTTGCTGAGCAGAGATCAGCTTAGGGAGGTATTTTCAAAAATCGGCCCTGAAGAGTGTTACGGGGAGTTATAAATAAAAAAAAATCCTTTTTATCATCTATTATATCTACAGACTTAAAATTTGACAAAGGTGTTTTTTGTTCAGGTGAGATATGCAAAACGCTTTTTTTGTTTAATTTGCAATTCAAGTAAAATTAACTCATTAAAAACTTTTTTATCCTTCAATCTCTGCTGTTTAATATTTCAGTTCACGGGTATACCAGCTAGTAAATCATAAAATTCTAGAAAAATGTCTAATGTATGTATTCATACACCAATGAATTACATTCAAATCATGTAATTATGGCTCAATTAAGTTTTTGAAAGAAAATTATATTATATATATATGAGAATTTCAAATTTTCAATCTTTAATAAAATAATTTCTATTCATCCATTCAAGTTTTAAACTTCTAATGGATGACATTTAATGTTAATACAGTTTTTCACATATTAATTAATTAATTAAATTTAAAAATAAATAAATAGTAAGTAACAAAAATAATAGTCCAACAACATATACGAAAAGGAACAGCATTTGTTTTTCCCTGAAGCGCAATACATAGCACATTGGACTTCTAATTCAAAGGTCGTGGGTTCGAATCCTACCTGGGATGGTCCAATTTCTCAGAATATAATTTCTTTTTCACTAAACTATTTTATTGGAATAATTAAATTTAATTAATGAGTACATAGTAATAAATAAAAAAACTCGTTCAACACCCCATATAGAAAGGAAAATGGAAAACTGCAAGGAAAATTGCTTTCTATTTTGCTACTTAATAGTGTCATTCTGTCATGTGTATATGCAGCTAAATATTAATTGTAACTATTTAAATAAAAAATAACTATAATAAAATGTTCTTTGTTGACATAAGTAGGAATTGATTTACCATAAAATCCGGCGTTCGTTCGTACGTTCAAAATTATTTATATCATAAAAAAAAGTTAATTTATATTTTTGTATACATTGTCTTTGACTAACTTTTTCTCTCCTTACAATTCACTTTTTTTTATCAAAATAATATTTTATTTCATTTTTTTAAAAAAATCAACCCATGCGAAGTACGGGTACTTCAGCTAGTGGAAAACACTTATTGTTACCTTTGTATTATTCATTGCTAAATTAAAAAAAATTAATAAATTTATAATTAAACAAACATTTTATTCCACATCTCAGGTATATTTCTAAATACAAAAAAAGGTTATATCACTTCAAGCAAACATTTTACAGTTTGAAACAAAAAATTTAAGATAAAAATCGATGACAGGAAAATATAAGAGCAGTATCTATGAAGAATTAAATTACAAACAAACAAACGAAATAATATATTGAAATAAATCTTTTTCTCTCCTTAAAATTCACCTATTACATAAAAAATAATATTTTACTTAATTTTTTAAGAAAATTAACCCATACGAAGAATGGGTACTTCAGCTATTGGAAAACGCTTATTGTTGCTTTTATATTATTCATTACTAAATTAAAAAAATTAATAACAAATTTATAATTAAATAAACATTTTATTCCACATCTCAGACATATTTCTAAATACAAAAAAAAAGGGAATTCAATCACTTCCAAGTAAACATTTTACATTTTGAAACAAGAGATTTAAGATAAAAATGGATGACATAAGAATATAACAGCAATATCTGTAAAGATTTCAATTATAAACAAACAATAAATTGATTGAAATAAACCTTTGTTAAAGTGAGATGAAACAAACACACCTTTTCACTAATCTACTAACTAGTATTTTCCTAAATGATTTTAGGTGAAGAAAAAATCTACTTTTAAGCCTTTAATTTTTAAGTACTAAAATTACATAGCGATATTCTTTTAAGATTTTAAAAAATCACTCATACACACAGGACTAAGAGACACACATTTAGAACGATGTACTTTTCTAAACTGAAACATTATGCTTTAGTTTTTTGAAATGAACGAACTTACATATGTCAGGTAATTATGGCATTGAGTACCACAAAACAGGCACCACGACTGCATTTTACGTAATCCACGGCCGGAGAAGTAAGTGCTATCGAGTTCTATCTCCAGATCCGGTTTGCATTCCAAATTGTTCATCACGCGACGAGCATTGTAGTACAAATCTATTTCTTCTTCTTCGAAAGGAAAGAAGACATGAGGATCTACAAAGCAGTCTAGAATAAGCTTTCGCCAGATCACGAAAAAAGGGGCTTTCCGCAATTCACTCATCGTCGAGAATAGTGCAAGCTGTTTGCAGAATTCTTGACAAAAAATTTGCAGTCTCTGGTAATCTTCCATAGAACGGAAAATCTTCCAAAACATTCTTCCATGTAAGACATTGAGGCAAAATTCAGCGATGTACGTCATTCGGAAGCATTGTACTTTATTCAGATCCAGGATAATTGCATGAATTAAGAAAGCAACCACTAATACGAATCTAGGGTACGTTGGCTCGGGACATAACAATACACATCGGGAGAGAAGAAACTCAGCATGTTTCATTTCGCAGTCGAAATGTACTTCTGTTCTTCTTTCGAGTATTCTATTAAATTCGTCACGGAAGAGGCATAACCGGACGAAATTTGCCACATCGTACACTCCAAAGAATTCAGTATGTACTAGCTCCTGAAGAAACGGCAATCGTGCGTATAGTAAAGATTCATCCAAAGACATTACCATCAAGTACCTCGACATGCAAGAATATCTCTCATGCATATCATCGTCTTCTGGTATCCAGTTTTGTGTTTCTGATTCACTCGATCCCATGTTTTGAATCTGAAGACATACTTTCGAAGCTTCAGGACCCATTTCAACATTCAAGTTCTTATTTTCTTCCATGTTTCTCACTTTCCCGGATGCTGTTAACTACCAGAGTACGAGCGTAAAATAAATGGTACCCAAACGTTTAGAATTCCGAAGCAACAAACGTAATCGAAGGCCGGTTGAAAATGATTCGCGCTACGTTTTCAACGCGGTTATGATAATTACAGAGACAGTGAAGTAAATGTAGTTAAAGCTTCAGCGTTAATTACAAACGATGGACACTCCCTCTACTGAGTGGGGAATAAACTATCTAAATCAATGTTTCTCCAAGTGGTGCCTACGTCACACAAGGGGGCAATTTGATTTTTTAGAGGGACAATTCGAAAAAGAGAACTCATTTAGAGCGTAAATGATCTACTTATTAGTAATATATAGCCAATTATATATATAAAATATTTTCCCTCTTTGTTTGTGTAATATGAGGCAAATTGTATAAAAGTATTAAATATCGCGAGACGATACAATATTCTTCCCAAACACAATCATTCTATTTGTTTTGAATGGTGTGGAATAATTCAATTTATTGAATTAAAAGAAAACTAGGTTATTCTTATGTTGATTAAATTATTTTGTATATATCTCTCCATAGCTTTTGTTAAGAGTTTTTGGATTGTAAAATTTTTTTTTTGGATTAAATTGAATTAATATCGTTGACGCGAAATTTATTTCGTTAGAGCTTCCAATTCAGGAAAAAGAAATTGCATCCTTCTCATCCCTGTTCCCAGAATTTTAAAAAAATGTGATTTATTTGTCTTGTTTATTGTTAGTTTTAATTTTTTTTCTTAATCATCATGTTAAATCAATATAAAAGATGTGTGTGTTTAAATGTTTTTCCCTCCCTTTCTTTATACATCAAGATAAGTTTAATTATATTATTTGGTACTTAGAAAATTCTTTCGGAATATTTAATGTTTGTGAATTAGGTCAGTAATAGGCGAGTTATTTTCATGTTTCCTTCTTTTTTTATTTAAAGAGAAATAGAATTAGAAAAAAAATTATTTTATTATAATTATACTTCCAAATGAGATCGCACAGATGTGTTAATATTTTAAAGCTATTAAAAATATTTCCAAATGTCATTTTTTAAGGAAATTAAAAGACAGAATTTTTTTTTTATTTGACTGAGAAGTATAATGTATTTTTTATTAATATTTTAAATATTGTGTCTACTTTTGGATTATTTTTATTAGTGTTAATTTTAGTGATTATGAGTTTTAATTAACGGAAAATATTTTTTGTAGGAGTTGTATAAGTTGAAAATTTTTTTTACGAAATTAAAATTTATGTAAATCTATTCTATGTTTTGTCTGTGCTATGTATAGATGTACATGTGGGTTTGTCGGGGGGAAAAGTTAATTCAGTTTCCAAATTTTAATTTTGAAAAAATATACTTTATTAGAATGTCCTACCCCCCCTCCATGTAGTTTTCAATTCTAAATATATTAAACATAAATAAATACAATGTTTCAACGAAAGTAAAAAATAAGGAATTTCTATATATATATATTCCTTGTTTTAAATTTACAATAAGATTTTAGAAAATCTCAAACATATCGATTTTTAATTCAAATGGGTCAATTTTCGATTAATTGAAATCTTTTGAATGAAAGCAAAACACTTTATCAATTATTTTTATACTTTCCCTAGATAATTTAACTTAACTCAGTTGCGCAACAGCCCTTGAGGCCCAATGTCTCCTGTGCCCATATCAGTATACGTGACTTTGGGCCCTGAGGGGCATGAGCAGATGTTCCGGCCAGGTGGTCAGTCTGACGTGAACCCCCCCAGTGCTAAGTTCCCAAGCAAACTTGGTACTCATTTATCAACCACTGAAGGAATGAAAGACTAAGTCAACCTTGCTCAGCTCGGGGTTTGAACCTCGGACCTTTGGTGTGAAAATGCGACGCACTGGGCTCTACTTAATTTAAGTACAGTAAAATACGTTTAACAAGAAAACGCTTACATAAAATTGGTTAACACGAAATAATACAACGGTCCTGAAAAACTACTACGTATTTTCATGCATCTTTTTTCTCTTAGCAAGAAACAAAAATCGTTTAACTCAGAAAGATTTCCCTTCTGAGAATGAACAAAATACGCGAATCACCAGCCGAGTTGGACTGTCGTACTGTGTCATGGGAAGAATTCGTTGCAGAAGATGATGATAATGTGGGAACAGGCCTAATTATGGCAAAGACATTTCGGAGTTTGTTCAAAGCTAAAAAATTATCACCTCGATGCAGATTGTGACGATGAAAAATTAAATGAATAATGAAGCTCCTGTTCCCACATCATCTGAAATGAGGAACGTCCTGAAAAGTATGCTCAGTTATTTAGACGCACATTCCAATGGTGAAACTAATAGCAAGATGGACGACATCGAGCAGTTTGTAGACATTTCTATGCTAAAAAGACAATGTAAAGGAAAATATCCGATAATTTTCCAAAAACTCAATACATATTCACTAATTTTTACTAAAAACATACATATTTACATACATAAATAAACTCAAATGGGTATTTTATAATGATGTACGAATACATTCTATTTTTATATATGTTGCAGGAAAATGATGAAATTAGGGTTTTCATCAAATCCATAAGGGAGATGATCAATTCACGAAAGATGTTAAAATAACGTCTCTTTGAGGTCATTTCCCTGATGTAAGTAAGTGATTTGATCAAATCCCCGAACTGTTTTAATTAAATGAACAAGTCAGCATTTGTAGAGCTCTGTTTTCGCTTGTTACCACTCCCTTTTACACCCCACCCCTCCTTTCTCCTCGTTCGTGCCAGGCAGTG